AAAAGTTAGTGAAAAAAATAACCGCAGTGTAGCGCTAATGTTACAATAGTTGGACGTGTGTTTCTAGTTTGCAGTTACAAATTTGAATTTGTTTTGAAAAAATTTTAATTATCTAATTGCATCTGTAAAATTAACAATCTCAATATGAGTAGAAGACGTTTGTCAGACGATGAAGAAGGTAATTAAAGCCACTTTTTGAGATATTGTTTACTAGTATTTAGAACCTGACATTACATTACAAGATTGTTTCATTTCTTCACTGTAAAATTCATTTTAATTCTATTGCTTAAATTAAATTGTTTAATATTAAGCCTGTAATTGTAATAAAATAGACCAAAATAGTGCATTGTGTCACTATTTTTTACAGAACTTCTTATATATTACTTTTTAAATTTGCATCAAATATGCATTTGCTATTTGTAGGATCTACAAATATCTTTTGCTAGGTTTATAATCTTTTATGAGTCACATGTGCTGAAATAATTCTAAAATATGATTTTAAAATGTTTTTGCTATATCCAATTATATATCTAATCTTATTACTTGATAATTTAATTCAAACAGAATGCTTAAAAATGTTGAGAAAAGCAATTGAACATGTTTAGATCAAGTAAACAGTTGAAACTTCTATTTTTGTTTAATAAATCTTAAGAAAAAAACAAAAAGCAGGAAAGGGCTCTTACATGACTTTCCCAACACTTGAACAGATTAAGCCTTATGAGTTAAAAAAAATTGTAAATGTCAATAATAATTGTTTCTAATCAGTTACAAAGAACAATTTTTGCAAAATGCTAGAGTTAATGAACTACACAAAAAAATCAGTCGTTTGAACAAGTTAAAAGACTATTTTTCTTTGTACCTGGGTGAGTCAATAGATATTAGTGACACTGTGCTATTATCATCTTGGGCTGAATTTTGATATTTGAGTTAGGAAAGAAATGCATACATTTATGAATTAACAGATTGAGCATATGGAAACAAATTTTTGAAATGTTTTAAAAAAAATTTAATCTAACTCTAAAAATCTGCTTTCTGTAACACAAACCTTACTCCTGTTATGATTGAGACAAAATTAAGATTTGTTTCTCTTTTAAATGAAAACAATTTGAAGTTCACATTGTCATTTTTCCATTGTATTTTGCATTAGGAAAACTTGTGTGATCAGATATCTAAAAATGATGAAATTGAAAAATATGATGGACATCATTGTAAAGATAATTATGAATTACATTAGAAATGGAAGCTCTCTCATCCATTAATAATTTGTTCAGTCTTTGAAGAAAAGCGGTGACTGCACTTTTAATAACTGATCTTACATTTGTTAAATCAGTTATCAAAAGTAAAATGGTTAAGTAGAATTGCAAATACTTTCTTTCTTTCACAAATAAAAGAGTGTTTTGTTGAAAAAGAAAGATCAAAAATTTTCCTGAAATTGAAATTTTTTTCTTGGCAATATGATTTGCACTTTGTATGACATGATGGACCACTTGAACAATTTGAATATGAAGCATCACAGATGAAATAGAATAAATAGTGAACTATCAGTCTATTCTTAAATTTCAATTAAAGTTGAACTTCTTCTCAGAACAGTTTCAAAGAAGATAATTTGACTAGGATTTCTCTGATATTAAAAGATCTCTATTAAAAACCTATCTCAAAAATTTGAATCCCATATCTTTAAGTTTAAAAATTTGAAATTAATATTTGATTTTTTCAATGATCCATTTCAGTTTGAAATAGCAAATTCCAGTAAGGATATTGCAAATTTTTGGGATGCAATGCCAATTGCAGATATTCTCACTATTGTGTCTTTCTTTCCTTCATTAATCACAAGAACAGAGTTAGATAGATCGAATATTAAGAGCAGAAATGGAAAGCTTAAGGACCAGAGGTCCCAATTAACTGTATATGAACTTCTGTCCTGGACTGGAAGCCACGTGATTTTTTAAATTAAAATATGATTAAAAATTGTAGCTCAACATTGTGATGATGTCACAATAATAGGTATTCAATGTTTTGGTCTGTGGATAAGCACAGATTTGAAGACAAGATTTGAAGATAATAGATTTGAAGACAAGATGTATACTGTGCAAAGTAAACACACACAAAACGTAAATGTTATGTCAAAGAGATGTGGCTCGCTATTCTGCCAAATGAAAGTCTTCCAAATTTAAAGATTGCACTTTTAAAATTATGTGTTATGTTTGGATCTGTATGAGTGAGTCAATATTTTCAATGTTAGATTTCCTCAATCTAAATAAAAAACCAATGTACCAGGAACCTGTTTCCGGTGTGCTTCTCGGTAAAACAAAGTGTTACAAACGTTTTTGAACTTGTAAGTTCTTCTTCAGGTAACAGACGTCTAAGCGAATGCCATTCAAATTCAATTCAAAAAAGAACACGATTAAGAATTCTATCGCACGTATCGATAGCGTCATTGACGCATGCGCCCCTTTGCTGGTTGTAAATTATCGTAAGTTCTTGTCAACAAGCACCTGCCATGCAGTTAACAGGGTGATTTCGTCTTTATTGTTAATACAATTGTCGTCTTTTAGTGTAGCCATACATATGTACAGGGCCTCTAGCCATCTAAGGTCGTGTGTGTATTTTGTGGTGCGGATTACCTTGGCCTGGCTGAATAATGGCTCTATTTCCGTATCTGAGGCATACACGGCTAGAGCGGTGGTTTGCCTTGCATGTAGAATATCCGCTATGTGTTATTTTATTCTCACCTCTAATGAGCTCTTAGTGGATCCTACGTAGATCAGGCTTCTGTTCCATCTAAGGTCTATAATTGGGATGGTATATACCCCTGGGAGTCATTCTTTGTTGGGGATATCTTTCCCATTCTGTAAAATATCAAAAATTGTCGCGCAACTTCTATATGCAATGCGAATATTCTTTTTCTTCGCTATTGTGTTGTAAAGTGATTTCAGGTATGGATTGTATGTAACTGGGATGATACTAGATGGAACTTCATCGGGTGCTTGGTTAAGGGAACCCTTAATCTGATTTTAGATTAAGGGTTCCTCAATCTAAAATCAGATATTGGCTAACTGACAAATTTGAAATAAACTACTTAGAACATTCCATACAAATTCTAGTAACATAAGCAGTATACTTTCCATGTGCATATTTTTTCATTTTCCACATTGTTCAAATGACTTGTTTTTATATTTTTCAATTTGGCATTCATGTCATTGCAAAATTAGCAATTTGACATTGAATTTGGAAGGTAATTTTTCTGGAATGTTGAATAAGTTCTTCAACCAGATTTATGATGAAATTCTTCCAAATTATATTCTTATCTGTAACTTTTTTGAATATTATCCAAGAATTTATTGCAGCTAGATTCAATATATTACAGAAAATGTGAACTGGCCAACAATTGACACAGCTTTTACTTTATATTTTTTTGCTATTTAGTCAACAACATTGAAGCCAAATTTTGTTTTTTTTTATATAAAAAAAGTACAGATTATGGCAGTTTCTTCACTTTATTTCCAGTTTCTGCAGAGTCATGGAATGTACTCAATATCAAGACATTGTTATATTTTTTGGCCTGATATACTGTCAATGTTACACTTTGGTGCAGGACTTCCATCGAATGTAAGTCGTCATACAAGTTTTTTGAAGAAATCACAATTTCTCTGTAATGGCAATTCATTGTACCAACAATTGTGGTAGTCTTGATTTGTAACTTCAACCAGTTTGAGTGAAATGAAGAAATTGTCAATAGTTATATTTTTTTCTTTGTTTAGGTATGGCTCTAAAACACACAGCAGCACATTCTCTAAAATGTTCTCCTCTGCTGGATGTAATTCATCCATCTGTAGATAAGAAGTGTTCAGAACATATTTAGAATCCACATCCAATGCTACCCTAAACTTCCAGAATTGTTGAGTTTATTTGTCATATACTGTGTGAATCTGCAATATGTCATTGTTGGAAAAAATTACTTATCAACTGTTCTGACCAGGCCTGTAGCATATTGTGCACTTTTCAATAAAACAGTTCTATATTTTGAACACACATGCTGATTTATCAGTTTTCAACCTTTATGACCACATAATTTTTAAATCAAACCTCATTATATCTCTGAATCTGTCTCATGGCATTTCTGTTTCAGAAGGAGGATCCTGTTTGGTCAATCAAAGTAGTCAACCTTCATACCTTTGGCACTATAGACTCAATGTGTGTACTGTACTTTGTATAGAATTGCCAAAAATGATCAAATTGTGCATTTCTTTGTTTGACAAAGAATTGGCTCATCTTGTCATAAAAATGAATAATTGCTACACTTTCTTCATTTTTATGACATTGTGCATATGGGGTCAGTCCTTCCCTCTCAAAATATTATGATGTATGTCTTCCAGCAATTGAAATGGTTCATCAAAAAAATCTCCCACACTGTTTCTTCAACAGCAAAATTGTTATTAGACGATACTTTCTCTGATGTTCTCTTATTTCCACTGTTACATCTACTGTAATTTCTACATCTTCCTCTACTAATGGATGGAGATTATCTGTTTCTGTGATCCTGATTGTCATTGCATTTTCAGTGTCAGAACTCTCAGTTGTTCCACTGCTATATGGAACTATTTCTTCATTATTTTTGCTAACAACTTCTGAAACAATTTCCTAATCATTACCTGACTCTTCTTCCAACACATTTGGTAAATATATAAGGATCTCTTCAGGAGAACATACACATGATGACATTGTTGTATTGATTTTGTATTAATACACTTAAGATTTGTTCTGTAATAAAAATTGGTCAAGAATAAATTGATGTATTTTGTAGCTAAACAAGATGAAATTTATAAATGTAACACCAGATGAGGAGTTGATATATTCCCAATGAAATGCATAATTTTTTCTTTCTCAAATTACAAATAAATTCCTTCTTTTATTATGTTCAAATATATTTTGAAGCAATACAGACTATAAATAATGCAATATCTTCTAATATCTGACAGTAATATAAAATCAAAAAATTCCATATGTATATAGTGACTGATAGGGAGAAATACATATTCATATATTTCTCCCTATCAGTCAATTTGACCATGAACACAGTTATAGGTCCCACCAGTCCATATTATCAGTTCAATATCAGAGAAGTTCAAATTTTCCATAATATTTAAAATCCAAAATTATGAAAAGTAAAAAAAAAAAACATCTAAAACTAAAATTTCCAAAGGATCAGAAAAGAAACAATGTGTAGTAGTTAAAATGACTGTTCCTGCAATTTTAGTGTTAATTGTTTTAACTCATTTTTTTTTAACATCAGAACCATTAAAATCAGGATTTCTGTTAATTATCATCTTTTTGCTTATCCTGCTTAATATTATCAGTATTGCATAAGTGTGTCCCAAAGTGATTACAATAAGCAAATTCTACTGTATTTAAAATAAAAGGGAGCAATATATGAAAATAGAAGAGAATAAATTATGTAGGTAGAAAGAAGTAAATAATAAAAGATGGAAGAAAATTAAGTCACTATAATTAGTTACAAATGTAGTAAGAAAAAATGTCAGATATCATTTTATAGTTTTGTATAGAAGATGAAATGGAATAATATGTTCAGAATAACTGTTCCAAATTGAATGTTTGCTCTACTTTTAAATAGTGCATTGTCAGTAACTTAGCTAAAAATATTTTTAAAATACAGTTAGTTATACATTATAAAAATTTCATTAATTAACAATATAGGAGCAAATTTGAAATTATTTTTCTAATAAGTCTAATTTATTATTTTTTCTAATTTGCAAATTTTTTTCTAAATAATAATATTTCTCCTTGCTCCATAGTTTGAGAACAACTGTATTAGATGAACTAATAATTAAAGTGATATTATTATTGTATTGTTATTGTATTTATTATTATAAACTATATATATTTGTCTTTTAAATTTTTATTTGAAATTAGACGATGATAAAGAACAATTTACAATTTATATTTTTAGTATATTTATAAATTTCCTTTATATACAGCATTTATATTTATAGTCTTCTAATCTAGAATGAATAGTGAATAGAACTGAGATTTCTTTTATATATATATTTCATGATCTTAAATCAGTCTGATTTAAGGTAAATATCTAAGCAAAAAATTTTTTGACTCATCTAAGAAAAATATTTGCTTAGATGAGATTTGCTTAGATCACTTCTCGGCCTCATGGCTAAGATCAAAAATATTTTGCTTATACTGTGTGCTATTATCCTTTTTTCTTCTCTCCATTTGTTTTGTACACTTTTTACAGTCACTTTTAATACAGTACATGGATTGTGAAACTTGGCACCATTATAATAACAACAAAACAAACAAACTGCTAAAGTTCATGTTACCAAAAATATTATAAATAGGAACATTATTGACCTTGATTGAGGTCACCATCAACTAATTATAGAATGGATGGAATAGGATTGTTTTGCATTTAAAAATTAAAAATTCTGAATTAGAATTTAGATGCTAAATGATTCTCTTTTAAAGGTTTCCACTATCATCTGTGAAATGAAAATTGTTAAAATCTATATAAACAATAAATGTACTAATTTAATCTTGAGTTATTAAAATCTGTTACAAAATAATTAGATTATAATATAGTGTAAAGACAAAGAGATTTTCAATTAAATGAAAGCATTTTTAGAAAATGACATTCTCAAGTAATATATTAATCTAAAATATATGAAATTTGTTGCCATTTTCCAGATAGGAGCAGCAGAAAACGAAGACGAGTCAGTTCAGAACCAAAAGAGATAGAAGATCGTCTTGAATCTCTGATTATGAGAGTGGGCGAAAAGGTATTGTTAGTCTTTGTTATTTTGAGACTAATTATTTTATATTTTTGAAAATAAATTTTTAGTACATGAATTCTAACTAGATTTCTTTAAATTAAAACAGTTCAAGTCTTTTATTCTTAGTAATTTACTCTTTTCAACACTAATATTTTTGGATATATTCAATGCCCATCTTCAAGCAACAATAAATGGAATCACATAACTCAGAATCCAAAAAGAACATAAATTTCAAAGATTTAAACGTAATGTTTAACTAACAAACTACTAATTTGGAAATAGAACACTACACAGTTTTGGAAGGCACATTACATAGAATTAAAATAGATGGTCCCATGTTAAGTTTAAACCTTTGAAATGTGTGTGTGTTTTTTTTTTTTTTTTTTTAACTTGGGTTGTGTGATTCCATTATGATTATTTGAAAATGGATGTTGAATACATCTGAAAATGTTAACATTGTAAACAAATTGCTGGAGAAAAAAGGTGAGAACCGTTTTAATTTTTCTTTAGTACATTGTATCATGTATGTAATAATAAAGTAGAACAAAACAATATTAAAGGATACCAAAATATAAGTGACTCTTAATTTGCTTAACAATATTAGTTCATATGACAAATTCTAGTGACAAATTATTTTATGTTAATCATTTAATTAGCCAAATTCTAATTAGCCTGATCTTTCAGGCAATCGTTGGTTATTTCATTATTAGTTCACACTTTAATTAAAGTTTTTTTGCAATATCAAAAGATGATAAACTTTATCAAAAAAATATTAGATTCAGAAAAGTCCAGCATTTGATAATTCAAACATCATGAATTGTTAGAAAAAAATTGTAATCTCTTCCCTCATAGATTGATTCAATAAGAATTGTTATATGAGTAAATGAGACAGTCATATCTTTAAGTTGAATTCTAAAATGTAAATTTCTTTCAAATAATAACATCTAATATTATAAAGCTCACTGACTCATATACAGTGTTTGATAGAAACAGACTTCTTAAAGAAAAATGAAATGGTATTGTCAACAGGAACATCAAATACATTGCTAGAAAAATTCAAAATTTCAAAAAAGAAAAAGTTGAATATTTTAGGGTCTATAAAATATGTCAAAATTTAATTCTTGACATTTCACAGGATATCATGGTGTCTGTACAGTTGATTAATTTAAATGCTATCATAATGCTGTCTAATTTTTTAAAAAACTAAAGTAACTAAATAAATTCCTAATTATTAATTCACTTTGCAGTATTTTAAATTACATTTTATTTTGCCTTACCATTCTTTATTAATTTTATTTTATTTTTATTTAGTCATTTAATCAATATATGAAGCATGCAATGTCATAATGTTGTAAATGCCATAATACATTTTATTGAAGAATTGAATTCTAAATGCAATGTTTTCTGCCACAAAAGAATATTGTGGCAGTATTGGCAGTGTAAGTGGCTGTATTTTGAAGATGAATTTATATGAAAATACAACATTTAAAGTGCCAGAGTGCAAGTCATGTGACTTTTGGCGCACAAAACTTTGCGGCTTATATTTACATCATTTTGATATTCCAGAGAATTTGTAACCCAATGAGTTTTTTACCATTTTATTGTAAAATTAAAATGAATTCATTCATTAGAAAAAATGTTTTTTTACCTCTCCTGAAAAGTTCCTTTTTTGGCATTTACAACATTTTGGCATTGTATGCTTCATATATAAAAGTAATACTGACTGGTATTCTACAGGACTTTATATTTTGAGGATCAACTTATGTGATTGATGTAAGTCTAAACTAGAATTTTGAAGTTTTAAACAATTTACATAACTATAGTGGGGAAGAACCTATAAAGGGATGTCAACTCCACCAATGTTGATTATGTTCCAGTGATTGTGAAAGGATGTTTAGAAGACTTCAAAAGTTTTTTTGTATAAATCTTCAATGTTTTTATATTTGTACATTTTTTAAATATGTATTTTGTCCTGGATTTTTTAAAATATTTTTTATAATGGAAACTCAGAATCTTTAGATAAATTGACACTTCAGGTTGACTTACATTAATACATTAATATACAGTATTCTCCCCAAGTCTTTTTCATCAGGCACCTGACTGAATGATTATGATTTTTTCTGTATGTCTGGCTGATAAACTACAGGAGTCACTCTGGAAAACTTGAAAATATCACCAACCATTTTGTCAGNCGGCAGACCTTTACAAGTGGTGGTCAGCAAACGCAAAACAGTATCCAAGCCTGACAGGATTTGCTAAGATTTATCTATCATCTCCTGGCAGTAGTGTATATAGTGAGAGGCTATTTTCAGAAGCAGATATAGTTTATGAGGAAAAGCGCAATCATTTGCTATCAACAAATACTGAAAAAATTGAGTTCATTCATCACAACTTACCACTGATAGATTTTAAGTATTAAATGTAATAATTTGTGATTAAAATAAATATGTTTTTGAGTAATATGTTTTTTTTTTTTTTTTTTTCATGATTTGGTATTCGGTCGAATGTTGCATACTATTCGGCCAAATACCGAATATTAAAAAAGTAGCCAAATAGGCTGAATACCAAATAGTAGCCGAATATTCTTGGCATCTCTAATGCTTATTGGAGTTGAAGCATTCTTTGAAATAATTAAAAATGATGAAATTCACCCATCCTGCAACAATAACATTTCACAACACATTATATGGATGACATTGTGTCAAATGAGCAAGATTTTGATACTGCCCTTGATACTACCCTTGATACTACAATCTCAGTTGTGCAATATGTTGAGTGCTAGTGGAATGACACTACACAAATGGAACTCTAATTCAATGAAATTGATGATCAGTAGTTCACATGAAAATAAAGAACATTACTTTTCCTCACATGCGGAACCCAACAGTAAAAACCTTAGGCATTATTTGGAAGCCAGTTGAAGATCAGTTCATATTCAAGGTATCGATTCCAGAAAAATTGCTTTATACAAAACAAGAAGTATTGAGTGTCATTGCCAGACTTTATGATCCCTTGGATCTTCTGGGGCCAGTTATAACTCGAGCAAAGATCTTTCTACAGAAACTGTGGCTCAGTAAGCTTGATTGGAAGGATACCCTACCAGAAAACCTTAAGTATGAATGGGTGAACTTTGTATCGTCTTTGAAAGCCCTGGATGATCTTAAGATTACAAGATATATTTTGACAGATCCCCTTCTAAGGGCTGTCTTGCTAGGATATACAGATGCCTCGGAGTCAGCTTATGGAGCAGTAGTTGCATGCATTGCATAAGGGAAGATGGAACTGGCAAGACACGACTTATTGCTAGTAAATCTTGTGTTGCTCCTCTTAAGGTCATTACAATCCCTCAGTTAGAGCTATCGGTTTGTACCGATAGCTCTAATTTGTCTTAACTGATCAAAAAGGTACACTCATGTCTGCAAATGGATGTAGGTGAGGTGATCTTACACACAGATTCAACTATTGCTATCACTTGGATCAACACTCTCGCATATTGCCTGAAAACCTTTATTGCTAATCGAGTAGAAAAGGTACAATCTATTACTGAAGGCTGTCACTAGAAACATATAGCCTCCCACTCCAATCCTGCAGATGCAGCTTCTTGGGGTTTAAATCCGCAAAATCTATCATCCATGAACATCAGGATGAATATACCGTTGACACTTCCTCAGATGAACAATATTTATCTGAGCTTAAAAAACAATTGGATGTTAATTTGATGTCAGTTTCAAGTTCTGACTTTGACAATACCTTATTTGAACTTAATAATAATTATATCAAATTAATTTGCATACTCAATTATATTTTCCAGTTTCTACATAACATAAGATAATGTAACTCGTCAATCTGGCCCTTTATCAAGGGAAGAAGTCAGGAGTCCAAAATTTATTTGATCAGCAAGGTACAAGGAGTGGCCGGCCTTTGCCAAAGAAATAAATGGGAAGGGATCTAACAAAGGGTCAGTTAAGCAGATTACATTCCTTTCTAGATAAATAAGGCCTAATGAGAGTTTGTGGTAGATTGAGCAATTCAAATTTATCATTTGACAAAAAGTTTCCAATTCTGCTACCTAAAAATCATAATTTAACCCACTTAATTATGAGATATTATCATCTGAAAAATTTACATGTTGGTGCGCAGACTTTACTTTACCCCATCAAACAACAATTCTGGCCTTTAAATGGAAGAAACCTGGCTAGAAGGGTAGTACATGAGTGCATCGTTTGCTTTAGAAATAAACTCAAATGCATGGAACAAATCCTAGGAAATTTCCTTTGGAGCGAATCACTTCAAGCCCCCCTTTAAACATGTAGGGATTGATTTTTGTGGACCTTTCTTTATTAAATATAAGGGACAAAGAAAGGGCACTTGTCACAAGTGCTACATCACAATCTTTGTTTGCCTTGTGACTAGGGAAATTCACCTTGAAGTAGTTACTGACTTAACAATCGAGGAAACGATAGCAACTTTGAAAAGATTTTTTAGCAGAAGGGGTAAAAGTGCATTAATTTGGACAGACAATGCCACAAATTTTTTGGGTGCCAGTATAGAGTTGAAACACCTACTTAACTACATAAGAGCACCCCCTGACAGTTTAGCTGATTACCTCACCAGCAAGGAAGTCAGCTAAAAATTCATACCACCTAGATCACCCAATTTTGGTGGCCTTTGGGAAGTAGAAGTCAAGTCCTTTAAACATCACCTAAAAAGAACTGTGGGTAACTTGCATCTAACTATAGAACAGTTTATAACTATCACCACACAGATAGGAGTTTTGAACAGCAGACCGCTCATTCTTATGTCCTCTGACCTGAGCAACTTCAAAGTTCTAACTCCAGGACACTTTCTCATCGGAAGGCTTCTGATTAGCCTACCTGAGTCAGATCGCACTGGTAAACCAGATAATTATTTGTCTCAATGGCAAATGTTAACTAAATTTATTCAAGTTATATGGTATAAGTGGAAATTGGACTACTTAATTAAAGAACTTACAGGCCTAACATAAGTGGCAATTTGAGAAAGACAATATAACACCAAACTCAATGGTTGTCCAATTAAAGGATGAAAATCTCCCACCCAGTAGTTGGTCAATGGGCAGAGTACAAGAAGTGATCAAATTATCTGATGGGAAGGTGAGAGTAGTTCTGGTAAAAACCCTCAGGGTGTTTTTAAGAGAAGCATAACCAAATTGTGCCTGTTACCATCCATCTAGAAAGAAAATGTGGTTCATCTTGGTGACTTACACGTGCCATTTAAATTTATGTTTAACATTGTTTATTGAAGTATTACTTCAGCATGTGCCCGGATGTTGGCCACTGTATTTTTGTAGTAAAAAAAATAATAAATTTTAAATTTGGAGACAAAAGTATCCTAGAAACGGCCATTTTTGTACCAATGTCTCATTCCACATTAAACCTTTTTTTTTTTTTTTTTTGCAAAACCGCAAATACTTTCATATTTTTACAGTCCATTAAAGATCAACAGACAATGCCATCTTAGTTGGAAAGATCTTTTGTAATCATTCTGTATTTACATGTTATGACAGTTACTTTACATTTTGTTTTTCTATAAGCTTATTTGTATTATAGTATATATTATACATAGCCAACTATAAGATATCCGTGTAATTTGTTTTAAAATATGTTTCTTTTTCAGAGTACATCATCTTTGGAGAGTAATTTGGAGGGCCTTGCTGGTGTTCTAGAAGCAGATTTACCTAGTTATAAAAATAAAATTTTAAGGATACTTTGTGAATGGTATTTGTCATATAAATATAAATAAATAAATATAGTCATAAATAAAACAAGCATTGAACAATTCTGAATTTTTTCTAGATATTCAAAATTATTCTAATTTTTCAAGAAATTAGTTGTTTATTTTAAAATATAACTTGTTTTTAATACTTTAATAAGCATAACCAAATTTTATGCTAAAACAGGACTTTTTATATCTAAATATGTTTTAAATGAAATCCTGGGTGTCTGAAAAATTAGAATAAATATTCCGTTAAGTTTTGATATTTTAATTCCATATTTTTGCAGTATGACCAGCATGTGGCATTTAAACAGGAGACCAGCATGCTGGAAAACTCTGGGTTACCAGCATGTGGGTTAAACTGACTAAAATATAAAATTAATCAAATTAACAAAACTAGTTGTTAATTAAACATTAAAGAAAACATTCTTCTGAGTACAATAACATTGTAATTTGACTGACTTAAAATCAGGAAGAGCATTTCCCTTACAAGACAATAAAACAATTAACAACTTATTGGCATTAATTGTAGTAGTAGTTAGTCAGTGTAGACAACACTGACCATCTGCCCCACCTTAAAAATAACATCTTCCTCTAAAATTTCACACAAAACAGATGTTAATTGGAGTAAGCTTAAATATTTTATAGCTAGTTTCTTAAATTTAATATGTTTATTTTTGCGTTTTTGAATCAAATAACAATAAAATACATATAAAAAAAACACTTTTAAGAATTTCGAGAGTATTTTATGTTAGAAAGAAGACGAAATGAAGAAATTAAACATAATATAATAGTTTTTGATGTAATGCTGACAGTTTCACAGCTTTAGAATAAAATAAACCTTTAACTATCCAGCAATAAAAATGTTTAATAAAAACATTTTCAACCGTTTTTAAACGGCCATCTTCAGTTGAACCAACATTAAAAAAGAACGCATGAAATACAAGTTAAACAGAAACCGAAATGCGCATGCGTAATTTATCGGACTTGCATCTTCTGAAAATCTATAAATAACTTGCAAATTACATAAAAATAATAAAGTCGCCAAAAAAGGGGGGAATATACATTGATTACAAGGTGTTAATCTGCATTATTGTAAAAGGATTTCCAGGCATAAGATAACCCTTCTGCATCTCTATGATTAATGCATCCCTTATTTATGTGTGCCTTGTGTATCTCTATCTTTTCAAGGTGTTTCACTGCTTGTTTGGAATTCATGGCTCTAATGATTGAGGCTTGATCCCAATATACCTTGACCTCTTGCTGTTTGGCAAATGCTGTGAGCACTGTGGCATCTACGTTCTTACTCACAGAGTATTTATGTTCCTTGAGTCTTTGTTTTAAATGCTGCATAGTAGCACCCACGTAAACAAGGCCCGAGTTGAAATGCTGATCCTTTATAGGTATAGAATAAACTCCTGGTAAATTATTTCGCTTTTCCTTTCTCTTATCGTTTCTTAACATTCTGTAGATCGTCAGATTACGCCGATATACTATTTGTAGATTATTACTGTTCGCCACCCTCCTAATCATTTTGTTTAAAAAAGGAAAATAATTAAGAACTACTCTTCGTTCCTGGGTCATTTTTTTGGGATACTGCCTCACTTAAACCAGCATGCCAGCAATCCCTGGGATAAGCAGGCATAATGGTTTTTACCACACGGAAGTATCTGATTTTATGGTCTCCCCTGGAAGACTGGCATGCCTGTCATTCTGCAAAAATATGGTATAATTCTCAGGGTTAAATCTTGTTTAAAAGTAAAAGTATTTTAATTTTCAATGATGATTGAATGTTTAGTTATGCATATTCAAAACTAATCTTTATTGATCACAGAAAAGGAAAAAATTCAATTTTGGCCTTTTTAGTAACTTAAATTTCACAGAAACATTTTAATTGATATAGGATTTATTGCTGTATTTGGAAATGTATTTTGGGTTCTGATGACCCCTCTTCACTCCTATTTATTTTTTTTTAAAGATCTTATTAAAATGAAGAATAGTTTTAAATTACATCACACATGCAGTTTACATAAATCATTTACAAAAACTTTTTACTTACATTATTCGATTATTTAACATAGATAGATTTTGGGCAGTTAAACTGGATATGTAATAAAAATCTTTATAAAGTAAACAGTAAAATAAAATTAAACTAGATAAATAAATAAGTTTAAAAATTATTTTTAAACAAATTTAAATAAAATGAGCAATTATTTATTGTGACATAATCACAAATGCCATGCTGCAGTTTTTAATGTATTTAATTTTAAATATGCACTCTTCACCTCAAATTAGTAGTGTCTTGCAGCTATACATCATACTTTTCCTTTAACAATAGAGTTGTGCCTGTCATCTGTCTAACACGTTTCAGGGGAAAATTTTTGAATTGAAATAACGTGACTTCCAGTTTGCATCAGAAGTTCTTATATAGTTAATTGGGGCCTCCTGCCCCTAAGATTTCCATATCTGGTCTTGTTTTTCATCTATCTAAGTCCATTCTTGAAGTTAAGGAAAGATGGCTGGATGGACAACAGAGGGAATTTATAGATCTACAATTTTTTTTTTAATTGCAGCCCAAAAATAAATAAACTGAATTTTAAAAATGAGTTTAAAAAACTTTTTTCAAAAATGTTGATATTAAAAGCCCTCAAGACCATTATAAAAGATACAAATTACACTGTGAGTATCAACAAAATTGACAATATTACAACACAATGGATAATCAGATAACATAAACAGAATATAAATGGATGGAGGAAGGGATCTCCAATAGACTCTATCTATTATGAAACAGTGGTTGCCAGATCTCAGTAATAGTTATACCTTCATTTTATTTAAATAAAATGAATTTAAACAAAGAACTATTTTATAAAAATAATTAAGACTTACATTGTATAGTTTTTTTACCTCCTGAATTCAAAATTTAATAAAAATGATATGTAGATTATTAAAATTTATATTAATTTATGACATTTTTGAGTGTTTATTACTACTCAAATTTAAATTATAATTATTATTTATTAAACATAAATTATAAGTTTACTACAATAATTCTTTAAATTTTTCAGTGTTGTAAAAATGCCAGCAAAAGCCACAATTTACACTACATTGGTTGGTTTGCTTAATGCTAGAAATTATAATTTTGGTGGTGAGGTATGTATCAGATTGTAAATTTATATATTATAATATATGATGTGTGAAGTTTTTATTGAGAAAAGATAGCAAAGATTTCAGTTATATATGTATTGTGCTTATTTAAGAATTTATGTGTTCATTGCTCTATTTGTTCAGTTTGATAATGATTGTAAGAATTGCTATATTTATCAGAATTCAAACACACTATCCTAAAATTGTTACATTCTGTATGATTCCAGATAATACAGTCAAATCCTGTTAATGCATTATCCAAAATATGCATTAAAGCTGAAGTCCCTTCAACTTTGTATGACATTAATGCATTCTTTGGATAATGCATTAACAGGATTTCACCGTATATAATTTTTGAAAAGCATTAGTTCAGTATTTCATTAATTCAGTTTAAATGTTGAATTGGAAAAAATAATTAATATATGAATATTGTCTTCCTATTGTTATAATGCTGTCTATACTGTCTTGCGATATAAATGGAATAAATAACAACATTCAAAGCCCGAATAGTATATCTACTAAACTGCCAAATGATCGCCTAAATATCGGGCTATTATATGGCTAATTAAATGATTAGAATAAAGTAATTTGATTAGAATAAAGTAATTAAATGATTAGAACAAATTACTTTATTCTAATCATTTAATTAGCCATATAATAGCCCGATATTTAGGCGATCATTTGGCAGTTTAGTATAAATGGAATAAGCAATAAGTTATTCATAAATCCATAATTAGATATTTAATACATATAAAATTTGACAAAAAGTAGCATATTGGAATGAGTTATTGAAATGCCAGTTTTAATGCAACCTTAAGTGCAAATACTGTATTTACTTGCATATAAGATGAGATTTTTATTCATTCATCACAGCTTCGAATTCCTAGGTCATCCTATACATGTGAGCAAAAGATTCTTTGCATTTTTGCAAATAATTTTTGTGAGCTGTGTATTCACATTTTTTACTGGATGCTTACCCTCTTGTATTTAAAAACATAAGTATTTTATCTGGGTCGTTTGAATTGTTCTTGTATATTGTCAGGAGTAAAGATGAATAGCAATAGGAAATGCAAAGCTTTTGAATTGAATTTCAGATTGAAATTCCAAAATCACATGGAAGCCTAATATAAGTTTTAATCCATTCCCATGTGAAAACAGATGATTATTCAGAAATCAGAATTCAGAGAAACTCATAAGTGTAATCGATGGAGAGTGGATTTGACTGTTAAGAATTTTCCAATTGTACAGCTTTATATGAACAAATTATGTTGTTGATTTTACAAAATTTTTCCTTAAAGTTTAAACTGCCAGTAATTTTTGCAGGACACTGTGTGCATTTACATTCATTTTATATTTTACTTGTGATTAAATGAAATAAAATTAGAATTCTATTAATAAATCTAATTTTCTTTATTTTGATCTTTAAAGTTACACCTCATCCTATATATGAGGTTGTCTTATATGTGAGTAAATATTGTAATAGGCAGTGATATTTATATGAGGAAAAAAGTCATCAATATGGAATATAAAACTTTAGTTTAATATGACATATGATTATCTTTCACTGCAATACAGGCCCTACAGTGCTGTTTTGTGTCATTTGTGAGGCAATTGATTAAAACAACAGCAGGAATATTTTACCATTTTTGTCTAGGACCAGTTGGAGTCTCTGGAGGTTTTCAAGAGAAAATTAAAGAGATAAAACATCTTCTTAGAGCATCCTAAATATGCTCTGTAGGATTAAAATTGGGAGAATGTTCTGGCCACTCCACATGGGTTATCCCTTTCAAGTACATTTGAGGGATGATAGCAGGTACTCCCTTTTTTCTAGATCAGAGACTGTCTAGAATCACTCTGAAGAAAAAACCCAGACTTATTTGTAAAGAGAACAGTTTCCTATTGTACCTAGGTATAATTAACATGAAGCTTGTAACAGTTCAGATATTCCTGTCTATAGCATGAAATGATGGTCACAATACCATTTGTTCTCCAGCACAGAGGCTACCCACATGAAACTTTCAATTAATAGTAGATATTGACAGCACAAGATCTGTAGCACTTCTGCTGAGGTTAGATTGCAACTGAGGCAGTGTTTTGTATGTTTCCCGGCTGTTAGGTGAAAATATCTGACTTTTGTTGTTGTTGTCCTTGTCCTTGAACAACTAGTAGATGATATTCTGGATACTGATCCAGTCTCTAGAAAATCATTCCATGGTTTGAAAAAATCAAAATGGCTAATATGCAACCATCTAGGAACCTCTGCTTGTGACTATCTTGCTTCAATTCTTCCAATTACTTGCCATTTTAAAGACTCAGGAAGAAGTTTGTTCCATATTTGTTTAAAAATTGAAATCATAACAACAGAATGAGAATGAAATATTGGATAATACACAAGCAAAGAACACCTTTTTAAATAGAGCTGGATTTATATGTTAGGATGCAACATATGCAAATTCTTTGATATTTTGCATTGACTAGGTTGAATTACATACCTTTTTGGCTTATTTTTTAATTAAAAGTATGTGTGTTTATAATCTTTACTGTATATTGTATCTCCGTAATTGAGGAACTGATTACTTATAGAGGTATGTGTAAATTATCAAATTTATGATGTCCCTAATATGAAAATAATCTCCATTTATAATACATTCTAGCACATTGATGTTAGATGTGTTGAGTAGACTGTGTTTTCTTTATTAGAAGATCAAGATATTAATAGTTTTTAATTTTATTACTACAGAAAATCAACATTAAATTCTTGAATTAATATTAGTTTTCTGTTTCAATTACATTAAGTTATAAGTGAAGGCACTAAAAATCATAAGTTATAACTTATATGAATTATATGAGTGATAACTTATTTTTATGTCTAGATATCCTAGCTCTAGTTATAATATATGGAATTCTTTGATATTCTTACTACAATTTAAAAAATTAATTCTATAAAAATTTTATAATTAAAATAGTATTTTAATTATCAAATTTTTATAATTGCAAAGTTCAAATAATAAGATAATTTATAAAAATTTAATCTTTGTTTCAATTAACAAAAATATAAATTATGTGTGTTTTATTTTTTAGTGTGTTGAAACTCTAATGAAAAGTTTTAAAGATAAAATTAAATCTTGTCAGTTTGATGAAGCAAGAATTACTGTAAGTTTTAAAGTTTTTATATAATGATAATTCTTTTTAATTATATAATAATAATAATTTTGACAATATATATATATATATACATATATTTCTAGTTAAGGTTCTTAGCTGATTTAGTAAATTGTTACGTAATATCTGCTGGATCTCTTCTTAATCTTCTTTCAAGTTTGATTGAAGTAACTTTAGAAACTAATATACCTCAAGTAAGATATAATATTTTATTGTATGTTTAATTTAAAATTTTGTTCATAAATTTAATAATTTATTCATATTTTTTGTATTAATTTTTTAGATTTTTTAATTATGATCTAAATATATAAAATTACCTATTGGATTCAGTTTAATCTTTTAATACAATCAATTTTAAAAATATGTATATTTTTTAATTATTCAGTTATTAATTGATATAAGTATGAAAATAAAATAATTATAGTAGTACATATTCTTATTTAATAGGTGAGATCAGATTGGTATGTTTATGCTGTTCTCAGTGTTTTACCATGGGTGAGTATTACATTGTTATATGAAATTGCAAATACTTTCTTAATGGATGGAAATAGGTAATTTTTTTTATTTAGGTTGGTAGAGAATTATATGAAAAGAAGGATCAAGAATTGGATCACTTATTACGAACAGTGGAAAACTATATAAGGTGTAACTATAATTTATTATTTAATTTTTCTTTTAATTGTGTGGTTTATACATTCCTAATTCCAGTTCTAATTGTGACAAGCTGTTCTATGTTTAGCAATGGTAAACCTTTTTTAAAGGTGGACCAAATTGAATGTGAATTCCAAATCACAGCTCAAATAATTGATTTGAATAATTAAAAAAATAAAAAATACTTGCAAATTTTATTTTATCATTATATTTCTGATAGATATTAAAAAGTTAAATAAATCTTTTATAGATGAAAAAAATAACATGATTATAATAAACAGATATTTCATTTAATGGAAAATCATCTATAATTGATAATTCTTTTCAAGTTTATAATTAGTTGCCTTTAAGACTTTTCATGACAGCTTTAGGACCCTGCTTTCACATTACATATGCAAAGTGTATATGTAATGTGTATATGTAATCTTTCAAATATTTTTTTATAATTTATAAAAACTAATACTTTCTAAATTTTCAATGCAGGTACTTTGAAATCAGGTCACAGGCCACAGATTTGCCATCACTGAAAAAGAATATACTTTTGCATTAGATAAATCTATATTGAAAATAGAGTAAAAATTTTATAATACCTGCATAAAAGTACAGTATTCACATGTTATGGATAAAGCCAGGATTAATCAGATAATGCTAACAACATTATCCAAGTCTTTGTTAAAACAGTATCAATCTATTAATTTTGAATTTTATTTCATATAAAGTGTACTTTATCCAACTCACAAGCAGATAAAGTTGACATTATACAAAAATGAATAAAGCTAGAACAAAACTTTAAAAATCCAACTTTATCCATTCTATTTTAATGAAGCAAGGAAAAAATTTAGGATTTTATAGCCAGATGATCTGTGATTTTTTTTCTCCCTCTCAAAGTAGGTTGGAGGATAAAGGAGGAATTTTCTTTTTTTAAATCAATTAGAATATATTATTTCTCATTAATATCACAAAAAATTTTAAATGTGTACAGTGTATACTAAAGAAAAAAACTGTTCCAAACATTTTTGGATTCCTCCTAAATCCTGCCTTGGGTCAAAAAAAATGTTCTATTTTGGAATGTATATGTAGAACTTCTGTGGAATTCAATTTAAAAAATTATGCATATCCACACATCAACTCTAATCAAATTTATGACTCATACATGAAATTGCTTTTAAAAATAAATAAATAAAAATCATAACAAATTTCAACATTGTAATTGTTGTCTCTAACATTAATTATATGTTTTACATTTTACTTATTTATCGTTATTCTATTTATAATGAAATGCTTTATATAGCTGTATAAAAGAATTAATTTTAAATGTTTGTTAAATATTTTTTTAGCAAACGACAGAAAATTCACCTGCCGGCATTACAAATTTGGCAAAATGGTTGTCCTCATCCTCAAGAAGAGGTATACTTCATTTTATTAATACTTCTTAATCAATAATAGAATAGTAAATATTATAAATGAATACTTGGATTATTTGTCGACACAATAAATTTTCTTCACAACCAATCAGAAATATGCAATTTTCATTAAAATACTGGTATAATAACAGATATATGAATAATATGTTGTAAATACAACATTTATAAAAATTTAAATGAATATTTTTCATTAAAATCAGTTTGCTTGAGAGAGGAGTTCATCTCAAAATTGTAAGTTAAACTAATATGTATATTTATTATTCGTATCTCTCATAGCTTGTCTATTTGTAAATACTAAATATTTGCAATCCAAAAACTTTATTTTTTATCAAATATTGAATACGTATCGCTTTAAGTATTTAGGAGTTAAAATGCTCATTTTGACTTAATTTTTTTTAAATGAAAAAGAAATCCAGGTTATATTGTGGAATTATGGAAGAGATTTGTTCATTGTAGTCTTTCTTTAGTATTGCAATAGAGAGTAGACATGAATTGAAATCAACTGTAGTTTACTTTTAAAACTTATACAAAAATTACGATTTTTTTTTTTTGCATAAATAACTTAATAATAACATGTAAATTATTAAAAATATAAATTTGTTAACAGGTTTTTGTTTAAATAATTAAAAATAACATCTGGTATATAAAATTTTTTAAAAAACTAATTATTAATCAAAATTTAAGATGTTTGAAACAAATTTTAGAATAAGTTTTTAAATCTAAATGAAAACACCTACACAGAAAATTCTGGATAAATCTAAAAATCAGTAAGTGAAAAAGCTACTAGAACCCCAAAATTTCTTTGCAGTTTTACAGATCAGAAACAGTAAAGTATCAATGACAAGTTTGTTGTATAGAAAATAGATGAGAGAAAAAATTTTTCTTTCTGATATTAGTCTAATATCCTTATCGATTATCAGTTTTAACAAAAAATTCAAGCTCTTTTCAGCTATCCAAAATGATCTGTAATCCTTCTTTTACATAACTATCTTTTTCATCATTTAAATTCTTATAAGCTTTGACTAATCTTAATTTTTTTCTTGATATGTAAACCTCACCTAGAAATTATCTCTGACAGTAGTTGTTTAGATACATTTTTCCAATTTTAATAAAAAAAATATTTAAGAGATAAAATTTTAATTTAATTAGAAATTTAAGTTTTTATTAAATGAATTTTATAAACATTATTATAGAATAAAACTATATTTGAAGTCAAAAGTATATAAGATTTTAGAAATTTAAGAATAAGAAAAACTATTAGGAATAAAAAGATAATCTTCCATATTTAAAATAGATAGATTATATAAAAATTAATAATTAAAATAATTTCAATAAACCATTAATTGAAAAGCGAATGATTTTTTTTTCTGGTTTTTATATATGTATGTTAATTATAATTTTTTAATCAGTATTTATTATTTATTTATTCCATACAAACAACATTTAGTAAAATTTTGTGTTAAATATCATTAATATTAATAGAACAATGCATGCCATTAATATTTTATAACTATATTTGTATATAATAAACTTGTGAGCCTTAATAAACTGTTGGTCTTTTCTTTTTATTACTAGACTTATTACACCATCACTCAACACAAGATCAGCCTTAGAAAATCACTTTATAATACAGAAAATAATATAGAAATAAAGTGATTTTCTAAGGCTGATCTTGTGTCGAGTGATAGTGTAGTACAGTAGAGCATCGTTTATCCGAAATGTCAGTTATCCGAAGGAATTCCAGTCGACAAATTTAAATTTTCGCCAGTGCTGTGGCACTGTAATCTTTGGCTATGTCTTCGGCTACTCAAATATTTTACATTTTTGATACTAAATTAACTTCTGAAGTATAATTTTTTATTGTTTTTATATTTTTGAATATATTTATTTTGTTTGTACAAAATTTAAAAATAATTTTTAACAATACAATAGTCTTCGTTACACTTAACATCGACGAAAATTCAACGCGAAGCGACACACAACGGAGAAAAATTTTAACACAGGATAAATTTATATATTTTTTCGTACATAATTGGTTATCCGAAAAATAAGTTATCCGAACAACCCCAGTCCCCAATTGATTCGGATAAACGATGCTCTACTGTATTAACAAGTCTAGTAATAAAGAAAGGCCAACATAGTGCTCATGAGTTAAACCAAGAGTAGACAAGAAGTATATCATATATTTTTATGATTTAACATTAGTTTATTTATTTGTAATTTTTAATAATTTACCATTAATCATTATAGTATTTAGATTGCCTTTGGGCTCAGATTAGTAAGCTTCGCTCTGAAAAATGGGTTGAACACCATATTTTACGTCCTTACATGGGTTTTGATGGAATCTTGTGTGAGGCCCTCCAGCATAATTTACCGCAGCTGACTCCCACACCTCATGAAGATGACTGCACATATCCTTTTCCAACAGTCATTTTTCGTCTGTTTGATTATACAGATTGTCCAGAGGTGAATTTAAATTTACAGATCATAATATATGTTTTTAAACAGTGAATTTAAATTTATTTCTACAATGCAGGGTCCTGTCTTGCCTGGAGCACATTCAATTGAAAGATTTTTAATAGAAGAGCAATTATTTAAAATAATAGAAAAATATTTTGAAGAAAGAAAAGAATGGTAAATAAATTCATATATTTTATATCAAATATAAACAAAACACCATACTCTTGCTGAGCTTATTATTACTTTAATTTCAAACGTTTTCAGCCCAATTTCAATAGGCCATCTTCAAGAACTATTCGAATACAACTTTCGAATAACTTTTAAATTTAAACTTTTAACATAAACTGTAACTATTAACTATTTAACATATTT